CTTGAAGCGGATGAAGGGACTTGTTCCCTTTCTGAGTCTGTCTTTCTGCTTGTTCTTCCCATGTACCTTTGAAACACTTTTTAACCCCGCAGTGGCAGATCATTCCGATAGCAGTTGCTAATTCCAGTTTGCACTTTTCCAGTGCTCACAGAACCAATCCCAGAGTCCCTCTTCAGTAACACCAGCACTAGCTGGCCAGAACACCGTTCTCAAAGGTCTGAGTGCCCGCTGCATGGGCAATGCCTCTGATGTCAGAAAAGAGACACCAGCCTAGCCAAGCAGTGAACTTTCACACAGGTCTATAGAGCACCTCCTTTAAACTTCTAAATTTTAATAATCTCAACTTCTTTACTTGGTTTCTCCAGTCCAAGAGGAGGCTGCTTCTCGAAGCTGCTCCCTCTACAATACATTAGCTTAGTGTTCCCCTTTTGCCTTTCCAGTTCTTCACTATCTAGTCATTAGTTCTTTATCGATTGATTCTCTAATAGGCTAAATTTGTTCTTTTTTTAGGGGAGATTACAGGTTTTAAAAAATTTACCAAAAGGAGCTTCGACTATTTCTGCATCCTTATAATCATGTCCATTTCCTGTTTTTCTTTGATGTTCAGATACCATATTTTTTTCCATAAACTTAAAGGGTGAGATGCTTTTGTCTGCAACTCTTCACGCCCATCACCATAATATTTAAAACGATTTGAACAAAAAAAATCTCTGTGTTGGGATAGCAAACATATTTAATATTTTTTCAACCATTTCCTTTTATTTTATTAAGTTCAGTGTATACTCCTATATTACAAGTTTCTCCAGCTCCAAATTCATGGCTTTGAAATTAATACATGCCCAAGAGAACTGTGGTTAGCAAAAGAGGGGAGGCAGCATTAGGGGTGGAAAAAAGAGAAGGACAGTAATTTTTTTGAAAAGAGAGGAACAGTAGGATAGCAATGATAACAAGGAAAGAACTAGAGGTGGTGGCAATAGTGAGCTGCCAGAGGAGATGAAACAGTCCCTGGTTATCTCTACAAGTAAATGGAAAAGGAGGGCTTTAAGGTTTGGCCTTGTGGTTTATGACACATGACACGATGACCCTTCCTGAATGTCCAGACTGACTGGACCGTTTAACTTGGGACAACCTTGAATTCATTTCAGGAAGATAGACTACTCAAGAAGGCTTAAAGATCTGCACTTAAAGACTAACTGAATGAATTCAAACGCAAAGCGGGAAACATCTTTCATATTCATTTTAAAAGCTTTCAAAAATGCTATTTAAAGCTAAAATGCAGAAGGAGTAAGATTACAGTCAGACAAATAGTGTGAAATATTTGGGGCAAGAATTGGGATGAAGTGAGGAGGAAGAGAAGGATTACAAGATTTGTTGCCTAAGGGGTGTCATTATGCCTGTGACATATTTCCCAAGAAATTTTTAATCTTGAAGTTTTCTACTTCTGTGCTTTCAAAAACCAGTCTAGATACAGTCTTAAAAGTGTGTGATTCAGGGGAAATGTGAGATATATCACTGATTACTTTGAGTTCCCAACTGTCTTATTTTTATAGCTATCTATAGCCATGTAGCTGACAATAAACTATTTCATAAATGTCAGCTACTTCTCACAAGTTTTAAATTGTTTGCTTTCTACCTGTGAAACACTGAGGGAAATTAATTTTTTTCTCTAAGTTAACCCTTAGGGGCAGCAATCAGAGAAACTGATTTTTATAAAACTTCTTTCAAAGAATGTTTGACTTGAATGTGGTAACCTGCTTCCTAAACTGGAGCTTTGTAGAGCTTTTTTTTTTTTTTTTTTTTTTTTTTGTAGAGCTTTATGAGTAGGTAAAATAACACAGTTTTTGTTTTAAATTTAAGATTAGCAGTAGACTAACCAATCCATCTTTGCAGACCTGAAACAGAGTTCTAGGAACTCTAGTCCCTGTGTTCTATGTGGAGCACCTCCATCTCTATCTCTATTGGTGGCTCTTTTATCCCTCAATTGATGTAACTCCAACAGGGGGAAAATCCTGATGCTGAAAGCATCCATTTCTCATTCACTGAATGAGAATTCTCCCAGTCAGCCACCTGAGGTATCACTAAATTGAAGCATGCCCACTGTGATAAGCCAAAAGAGTCAAGAGCTGACCTAAATGGATGGAGGCAACCAGAAAAAAACATATTGAAGAAGGTAAGTTTTGAATGAAAGGAAAAGAATTAAATGATAGTAAGGGAGTAGAAAAGAATCTTATGAATGGAAGCAAATTACATAGTTTTGTTTCATATGAATTGAGTAGAAAAATGATTGTAAGAATGTTTCAGTAAATGTGACATCATCTAGAAAGACAAAATATAGAATAGTAGTTATTTCTGACAATTTTGATAAATTTTCATTTATTTATTCAGCAAATATTTTTGAGCACCTACCATTGTCATTTGTCTTTTATTTTAGTACTCAGCTGTGGAGTGTATATGTATATATATATTTATAAGATGTAATACATCTTTAAATGAATATTCTGAGTCTGAAGTTGCTTATCCTCTTTTCCCTCTTCTTTGTAGATTGCTATGATTTCCATACCTTATCTCATTTAGTCTTTTCCACAACGCTGTTAGGTTGAATGTTATGCCTATTTTACATGCGGAAACTGAGGCTCAGAAGTATTTAGTGATAGACCCAAGCTCGCACATCTAGAAACGGAACCCAGCTCTGTTTGACTCCCAAAGTGCTCTTTTTTTAAAGATTAATTTATTTATTTTTGGCTCTGTTGGGTCTTCCTTTCTGTGTGAGGGCTTTCTCTAGTTGTGGCGAGCTGGGGCCACTCTTCATCGCGGTGCGCGGGCCTCTCACTATCGCGGCCTCTCTTGATGCGGAGCACAGGCTCCAGACGCGCAGGCTCAGTAGTTGTGGCTCACGGGCCCAGCTGCTCCGCGGCATGTGGGATCTTCCCAGACCAGGGCTCGAACCCGTGTCCCCTGCATTGGCAGGCAGATTCTCAACCACTGCGCCATCAGGGAAGTCCCCAAAGTACTCTTAACTGCTATACCAGCTGCCTGCCTGATTTGAGGAAAGTGATAGTGGGCCACTGCCAGCAAGTTTACTTGAATAGATAATCTATGGACCATAGTAGTGAAAAAAGAAGATTTAAAATGAGTATTTAAGTAAGCCATAAAACTACCATTACTGAACTCAAAAGGGACAAAATGAAAACAGTGACTGCAAAGGAGGATTGATAGACATATACAGATGTATATTTAGAGATAGGAATTGGAAGCAACCAGAAGTGTTTTTTAAAGTCATGCTAGAAATAGTCATAGCATGACATAGGGAGCAGGATTATGTTCATGGATACTTGAAGAGAGATTCAACTGAAGTTGGGAAGGTGGATGTGAGGAGAGAAGGTGATGGAAAAGTTAAAAACGATCCCCAAGTTGGCAAGCTTAGGAAGCCAAGATGGTAAATATATTGTATCTGATGAAAAATCTGGAATGGAGTGGTTATTTTAGGTGTGGTGAAAGATGAATTTGATATTCAAAATTCATATAATCAGGAACTGCATTGTGTATTTAAAGTAAAATTCCATGGCATCTTCTCCAGCTTTTATCCACCCCAAATTCAAACTTTTTTTTTTTTTTTTTTGGCCTCTCACCACTATGGCCTCTCCCGTTGTGGAGCACAGGCTCCAGACGCGCAGGCCCAGCAGCCACAGCTCACGGGCCTAGCCGCTCCGTGGCATGTGGGACCCTCCCAGACCGGGGCAAGAACCCACGTCCCCTGCATCGGCAGGCGGACTCCAAACCACTGTGCCACCAGGGAAGCCCTTGCGCCACCAGGGAAGCCCTCAAACTTTTAATCCCCCACCATAGCAAAAAGATCAAAACGCTTTATAGGAAAAAATAATTTGGAAAGTCTGGGTTATAAAGCCATATGCACTTGGCGTTGATATCTCAATAATGGATTTTGTTAGATCACAGATCTTCTATTTCTAGCAGCCCTATGCAAAGATTGTGAAGACTGGATTTTTTTTTTCCACCCACAATTGGTACATAAGCTTGTTAGGTATCAAGAGTCCTCCCTCCCTCCCTCCTTCCTTCCTTCCTTCCTCCTTCCCTCCTTCTTGTTTTGGTTGTAGGTAAAATTCACAGGACATGTACTTGTGTCACTGTGGCTCCTCAAGATATTGACTCATGATTTTAGTTATATAACTGACTCTGATTAATAGAATATATATTAATTCTGGGTATATTTTATAGATTTGTCTCTTTAACTGATCCTAATAAATATGTCCCTTTGGGCCCCATCCTGTTTATTCAGAGAATAATTTGTTCTGGATTTATATTCAATAAATAAATCACCAAAGTGTCCCAGGACATACTAGACACCACTAATCTATAGGAAGATTTGCACCAGTCGAGTCTGTTTTATTCAGGCAAATATTTCCTTATTAATTCAATACAAACCAACTTCTCAAAATTATATATATATATTTTTTGGTAAATGTGTGTCCATGTTTCCATCATTAACTTACAAAACTTTATTCCAGTTTAAAATGTTAACATACTTCTCCCTTTAAAAAAAATAAAATTGTCAGAATTTTTCTCCTAATTTACTCATTTCTTCTCTTGAAAGAAAAATTAATAATCTCTATGCTCTAAGGTCTATATTTATCTCCTTGAACATTTTTCCACTTCCTTACCAAACAAGAAAAACAATAAAGAGATAAACTAAAGAAATGGAAAGAGAGAAAAGAACAACTATAGGCACCAAAGTCTGATCTGATTCATAATAATAGAACGGAAATGATTTTTACAAACTTATGGCATTACATATGAGGACTGCATCTTTCAGAGTTTGAGTTATCAATAGAAAATATAAATTTGTTCAACATTTTCTAGTAAATATTTCATACTGTTTTTCTGTAAATTTTACGGCTTGTCACAGATATACACTTCCTAAATGATGATTCTGTAAAAGGAAGACATTACCCAGAGTTACACTATTGCTGTCACTTCATACTTACAGCAACTGCCTCCAGGATTTGTTTGACAGCATCTGCAGCATCTCGTTCACTATAATATCCCTTTTCCACAATCCTAAAAAAAAAAACCATGAAATCCTTCTCAGACACATGCATCCAGTTGAGTAGATGTTAAAAGAAGTTAAATTAACGTTAAAGAAGATTTATCTAAACAATTGCAGCAGGCTACCATGACACGAGGGGAAAGATTTCCATAAGTTGGCACTCTAGAAGTCTTTAGGTTTATTTTGCCTAGGCTTGAAGTTTCCATCCTATTGAGGACAAAAAATTCTTTTTAAACTTTGTATTGCAAATCATTTAAAACATATACCAAGTAGGCAATATACCATGAACCATCCCATTTAACTGTCACACTGCTTCAGCAATTATCAATTCATGGCCAATGTTGTTTTATCTATCTAATTAATTACTTCCCTTCTTCCTTTATTATTTTAAAGCAAATATCAGACATCATATAATTTCATTTATAGATATTTAAGGAGGTATCTCTAAAAATAAAGGACCTTTTAAAAATCATAACTACAATGCCGTTATGTCCATAAATTACAATTCCTTAACATTATCAAATATGCAGTGTTTCAACTTTCTAATTGTATTAAACATGTTAAAATTTGTTTGTTTGTTTTTTTGAATCAATATCCAAATAAGGTTCATGCAATTGATTGGTTGATATGTCTCTTATTCTCTTTTTACCTGTAGCTCCTCTCTCCCATTCCCTCACTCACTTTCTCTCATCTGCTTTTCTTTTCCAAATAAATGACTTGCTCTTTTTGTATAGATTTGGGCAAGAAATTATTCTTTGAAATTAAAGTCTTTCCTTTTTTAATTTCAAGAATTTTCCTGAGTTAGAATATTTCATATTTATTTTCTTCCATTGCTTTGGTTTTCTTCTTTGGGGTATGCAATTACACACATATAAGAGGTTTTCTACTTTATGGACCCAAATAAACAAAATAAGAAATGAAAGAAGAGAAATAACAACAAATACCACAGAGATACAAAAAAAAAAATCATAAGAGAATACCGTGAACATTTAAATGTCAACAAATTTGACAACCTAGAAGAGATAGAAAATTTTCTAGAAACATACAACCTGTCAAGACGAAATCAGGAAGAAACAGACAATCTGAACAGACTGATCAGTAATACTGAAATTGAATTTGTAATAAAAAAAAAAAACAAACTCCCAGCAAACATAAGTCCAGGAGCAGACAGCTTCATAGGGGAATTCTAGCAAACATATAAAAGAGAATTAATATCTATCCTTCTCAGACTATTCCAAAAAATTTAAGAGGAGGGAAAACTCCAAAATTTATTCTCTGAGGCCACCATTACCCTGATACCAAAACGCCAAAGACAATACAAAACAAAGAAAATTATGGGCCAATATCTCTGATGAATATAGATGCAAAAATCCTCAATGAAATATTAGCAAACCAAATTCAACAATATATAAAAAAGGATCATACACTATGATCTAGTGGGATTTATTCCAAGGATGCAAGGACAGTTCAATATTTGCATATCAATCAATGTGATGCACCACATTAACAAAAGGAAGGATAAAAATCACATGATCATCTCAATAGATGCAGAAAAAGCATTTGACAAAATTCAACATCCATTCATGATAAAAACTCTCATCAAACTGGGTATAGAAGGAACATATCTCACAATAATAAAGGCCACTTAAGACAAACCCATATAAAAAAAAAAACAAAACCCATAGCTAATAACATACTCAACAGTGAAAAGCTAAGAGCCTTTCCTCTAAAGTCAGGAACAAGACAAGGATGTCCATGCTCTCCACTTCTATTTAACACAGTATTGGAAGTCTTAGCCACAGAAATCCAACAAGAAAAAGAAGTAAAATCATCCAAATTGGGAGAGAAGAGGTAAAACTAACTATCTGCAGATGACATGATACTATAATATAGAAAATCCTAAAGTCTCTACAAAAAAAACTATAAGAACTAATAAATGAATTCAGGCAAATTGCAAGATGCAAGATTAATATACAGAAATCTATTGCTTTTCAATACACTAATAATGAACTACCAGAAAGAGAAAGGAAGAAAATAATCCTGTTTAAAATTGTGTCAAAAAGAATAAAATGCCTAGGAATAAACTTAACCAAGGAAGTGAAAGACCTATACTTTGAAAACTATAAAACACTGATGAAGGAAATTGAAGGTGATACAAAGAAATGAAAAGATATCCCATGTTCTTGGATTGGAAGAATTAATATTGTTAAAATTTCCATACTACCCAAAGCAATCTACAGATTTAATGCAATCCCTATCAAACTACCCATGACATTTTCCACAGAACTAGAATAAATAATCCTAAAATTTCTATGGAACCATAAAAAACCCCAAGTTTTGAAAGCAATCTTGGGAAAAAAGAACAAAGCTGGAGGTATCACGGTCCCTGCCTTCAGACTATACTACAAAGCTACAGTAATCAAAACAGCATGGAACTGGTACAAAAACAGATACATAGATCAGTGGAACAGAATAGAGAGCCCAGAAATAAACCTACACACTTATAGTCAATTAATATATGACAAAAGAGGCAAGAGTATACAATGGAGAAAAGACAGTCCCTTCAATAAGTGGTACTGGGAAAACTGTACAGCTACTTGTATAAGAATGAGATTAGAACATTTCTTCATGCCATATACAAAAATAAACTCAAAATGGATTAAAGACGTAAATGTAAGACCTGAAACCATAAAACTCCTAGAAGAGATTGTAAGCAGAATACTCTTTGACATAAATTATAGCAATATTTTATCAGATCTGTCTCCTAAGCAAAAGAAGTAAAAGCAAAAGTAAGCAAATGGGACCTAATTAAATTTAAAAGTTTTTGCATTGCAAAGGAAACCACTGACAAAATGAAAAGACAACCTACTGAATGGGAGAAAATATCTGTAAATGATATGAACAATAAGGAATTAATATCTAACATATATAAAGAGCTCATACAAGTCAATATCAGAAAAACAAGCAAGCTGATTAAAAAGTGGGCAGAAGACCAGAATAGACATTTACCCAAAGAAAACCTACAGATGGCCAACAGGCACATATAAAGATGCTTAACATCACTGATCATCAGAGAAATGCCAATCAGAATCATAGTGAAATATCACTTCACACCTTACAGAATGGTTATCATAAAAAAACCCACAAATAACAAATGTTGGCAAGGATGTGGGAAAAAGGGAACTCTTGTGCACTGTTGGTGGGAATGTAAATTGGTGCAACCATACTGGAAAACAGTAAAAAGGTTCTTCAAAAAACTGAAAATAGAACTACCATATGATCCAGCAATTTCACTCCTGGGTATATATCCAAAGAAAACGAAAACACTAATTCAAAAAGTTACATACACCCCAATGTTCACAGCAGAATTATTTACAAGGGCCAAGATATGGAAGGAACCCAAGTGCCCATCAACAGATGAATGGATAAAGATGTGGTATATATACATAATGGAATATTACTAAGCCATTTTCATTCACAATTCGATTTTATCATCCATTCAAATAACTAAGCCAATCCAAATTTAAATGACAGACGCTTTAATTGGGCTTTAGTAGCTGAAACTGCTGAGACACTATACACTTCAAGCTTCTGATGACTTTTAAAACGCCTCCAGTGTACACATGTATATAGGATACTTTTATAACCTCCCTGATGAAAACCTAATATTGAAGTAGCAGCTGAACCCAGAGCCAGCACTTAGTGGTAGAGGCTGCAGGTCTCTCCTCTCCACCTTCTTTTGCACTTGGGAAGCACAGCAACATCTGGGTAGAATTCTAGCTTTGACTTCTGTCTCCTCATCTCTTGGGGTCCATTCCTTAGCATGCTAACTTTTTTTTCTTGTTTTGTTTGTATCTTGTTTTTTTTGTTTGTGTTGGGCTTTTGTTTTCCCTTTGTGTGTGTGTGGTTTGCAATGATGTTCTTGCCTAAACTTTGAATTGCACTTTTTAATAAATATTTGTAACAATTTTAAAAAAATGAATGAAATTCTGCCATTTGCAACAATGTGAATGGACCTAGAGAGAATTATGCTCTGTGAAATAAGTCAGACAGAGAAAGACAAATACTCTATGCTATCACTTATATGTGAAATCTAAAAAATAAAACAAACTAATATATATAACAAAACAGAAACAGATTCACAAAGAGAACAAACAAGTGGTTACCAGTGGGGAGAGGGGAGAAGGGAGGGGCACGATAAGGGTGAGGGATTAAGACACAAACTACTATGTATAAAACAGATAAGCAACAAGGATATATTGAACAGCACAGGTACATATAGCCATTATTTTGTAATAACTTTAAGTGGAGTATAATCTATAAAAATATTTAATCACTACGTTGTACACCTGAAACTAATACTGTAAAACAAGCATACTTTAATTAAAGTTTTTCTACTTTTGATTTACATTGTTCTTTTTACTATGATTTTCTTAATTTTAGTTTATTTTGCAATATTAAGTTATAATTTCATCTATTTTGTGGGCATATCCTCCCGACATGCTTTCACTGCCTAAGGGGACCCTATTCTACTCCTTATTTTCTGTCCTCTTATAATCATTTTGTATTGTAATTAACTGAGCCACATCTCAGTTAAATTTGTTTTCTTAACCTTTTGACAGAGTGGTAGGTCAGGATATCTATTCTAGTTTCATGGCTCTCGACTTTCCGGTTACTTTCATGAAGCATTCAAAAACTGGAAACATACTTTCTGAGATCTCTTCTCTATCTGGAACATCATTCCCTTTCCTCTACCATCTCTACTCTGATTACTAAAGTCTCTTTCCAGAAGTTTCTCCTAAACACAGGTTTTTTTCCCCCCAAAGAGGCTTTAGATATTAATTTCATGAGTTCACAGGGCCTTGACTGCATTAGTCTCTTCAAACCTTACTGTGGACACCCTCGCACTTCTCGAAAATTTGCATACCAAAAAGCCCTCAGCTGGGCTTCCCTGGTGGCGCAGTGGTTGAGAGTCCCCCTGCCGATGCAGGGGATACGTGTTCCTGCCCCG